CACTCAGATGATGGGTAAACCAGCCCCTTTACGATTCATTTTAATAGCATCGGGCATCCATCTGCCCGTTTAAAACGAAATCGAACCGTCTCTAACACTTTTTTGGGAGGCAGCACCATTAATCTTATCAGCGGACGGCTGTGATTCAGGATCTCAAGCACTAGAAATATTTTTAAATGATTTTTTGGTCTCTCACACAGAAACGAATTGATGAGACGGGGCGAAGGTTGCTATTTCGCTGCAGAGATTTTTGCAAACTTACAGTGTATAAGTCATGCGCAGTACAGGATTGCCATGGCTGAGATTGTCCCTCTTGATTTTCTCTGTTATCGACGGCTGATTCAGGCATGCTGCAATGACGCATAGTGATTGTAACAAAAAAGATAATTGGCCAACGCACGGACTGCCCATGCGAAGATGCGTTTTTTGCACAGTTCCCCGTAGTTTTTGTTGCTGCCGGCATCGGTTTTTTCGGCAAATGCTTCTAGCTAAACAAATTAAAACTGGCCGCCAGAACTGTCTGGAAACACCCCCTTAAAATTTCAGCTTTCTAGCTTCCCTGGCTACTGAGTTAGCAACTTACTGGGAAAAAATTTTTACGGCCCCGTGCGTGTTTGCCACGCATACTCTAGAGATGGGTTTGAGATGAATGAAACTTAGGTGGGCGGGATACATCTTAAAATTCAGTCCTTCAGCTTCTCAGGTACTCGAGTACTTACCCGAAAAAAATTTGGCGGTCCCGTATGCGGGCACCACTCTTATTCGGGGATGGGTTTGAGCTCACTAATGCCTATTTGGACTGGGAACATTTCTCTAAGATTTCAGCGCTCTAGCTTCCCAGATCCACGAGTTATGAACTTACCCGAAAAAAACTTTGACGGGCCCGTACGTGGGCACCAGGCTTACTCGGGGAATGGGTTTAAGTGCACTAACACCTAGTTGGACGGGGAACATTCCCCTAAGATTTCAGCGTTTTAGCTTCTCAGATCCCCGAGTTATGAACTTACTCCAAAAAAACTTTGGCGGGCCCGTGCGCGGGTACCACGCGGGTTGCGCCCTTTGGGGATTGGGGCCGGTACATGCATGTTGATTAAGTTCCCGAAATTTCAGCCCCGCAGCTTTTATAGGTCTTGAGATGAAAGTGCGCGACAGACGCACACACAGACACACAGGCACATGGACACACAGACAACCCCTCGTCAATATGCGTTTTCTGCATTGCATAGCTGCAAAAAATGCATAAAAAACTTTCAAAAAGAGGAAATTTAAATTTGGAAGCAAAATTCAAATTTTAAAAAAAAAATTTGATTAAAAACAAATCAAAATTAAACAAAAGAAACAAAAAGGAAATTTAAATAAGCCTTACAATTGTAGCTAAACATTCCATCAGAGATTCGAAAGCGAAAATACTGCGCTTCCGAATCGGGCTCTTTTTGCGTATTAACCAACGGGCGCGCCTCCTGAAAGGAAAAAAATACAAGCTACAAGTCAATCAAAATCGAAACTGAACTTCTGCAGTTAACAGAAAAACTTGAAAATGTTGTGTTTGGCCAACAAAAACGAATGAAGAGGGATGGTGGGGCTGAGCCCACTATGTTCAGTCTGAGCCCTCTATTCTCATCTATTTCTAACTGCATTAGCCAAGCATTGCCATGCTCCGTTTGTCATCGCTGTGACTGAGAGTAAGTGAAAAGTCTTACAAGAATCTGCACCACAGGCGTTGTCTCAACATCGTCGTATGTGGTACTTTCGCAGATCTGCTTGATGAAACCTCGCGAGAGATCGCCAACCGATATCATCGTATTCTCCTGAAATACACTGTAATTTAGACTGATAACCATTGGAAACATGCCAATACCGAAGCAAATAGGTCTCGATCAAGAAAGAGTTGCAAAAATGACATCAAAATGGAGCAATACTTCGCCGGGATGTGCAAGAAGAAGCGGGCAAACGACATGTTGAAAGAGTCATGTACATGGAACCTACATATTCCATGTACATGACGACTGAAGATGTCTTAAGGTTTGTACCACATTAACAACCCAAGCAAGCACAATTCACTAGCAAATTCCACCATCCCATCCTTAAAATTTGAGGAATTCATCCGATCCGAATTTTCTTTGGCTCTACGGGCCGTTATTTCAGCAGCTATGGGGTTCGGCCTAGCAATGGCCGTAAAAAAACCACTTGAATTAAAAACCTAGTTAGTGCGATATTCCCACATGAAAGCTGTCTCCTCATAACTTCATAGAATTACTATCCTTATCATACGTTAGTTTCCTCTTCTTTTACCTGCTCTATCACTCTTCTTTCATGGTATTAAATAGTTTCTCTCCCTCTTACTCCCTTTATTTTTTCCTTTCACTCATCCTTCTAGCAAATTAGTTACATGCCTTTTCAATACATGGCGGGTAGGAGGCTGTATTGACGATTCTCACTCCTACCCGCATGCACAGTCCGGTCTGTGTTTACAGCTAAGGGATGAAACACACAGAGACTGCATCGTAAAATATCATCCCACTACAACTAAAAGATAAAGGCAGTTTACACCATAAAATATCACCTTACATATAGCCTGCGTACAATCCTGTTGGTTTATTATTTCACCCTCTTCATCGGCGGCAACCCTACTTGGGCCGTTCAATTTTGGTTTGGCCCTTTGTGACCCCTATATTCCAGGACTAGCAGCAAAAGCGTGATGAGTACTGGGAGAGGAAGCAAGTAGAGTCACTGCGAACACAAAATTGTAGTATGGACCAAATTTACGATGCTAAAGTGTCAGCAAAACGCAAAAATTCTAAGACCAAATTCCGATTTACTGTTAAAACTCGGCTTGATTCGGCCGCATCGGACAAGCTGCAACGACTGGGGAGCCAGGGAGCAGGGGGGGGGGGGACAGGGCTCTGGGTCGGGACAGTAATTTATATTTTAGGGATGTAAAAGAGAGGACGAAGGGAGGAGGACACTCGGTGGGAAGGGCTGGAATCTTGCCTGGAGGTAGAAAGTAGCCAATATGAGAAGACAAAGACCGGACTGGACGAAAAGGGGAGGGGGGAAGGGCCGGGAGAAAAGGGGAGGATCGGAGGGTCATTACCCTAAAATTTCATCCTCCTAGACTCCGTGGTCCCCGAGATATTAATTTACCCGTAAAAAACTTTCACGGGGCCATACGTGTTACCCGTGGGTACGGGGAAGCTGAATTTAAATAACTTTTTCGTGGTCAGCTTGAAACCTGATGCTGAAAGTAAGCTAGCAGTATTGAACGCAACATCTAGAACCCCCGATCGAGACAGAAAATCCGGTACTGCGATTTTCGTAGTTCAAATCCAGACCCAAAAACACGTAAAAACGAGTACACACTGCCGGCCCAAAGCCAAGTTAGCCCAGCAGTTCCCAAATTTTGTAATATTTTTGTTGGATTTTGCGCCCATCTGATCGAACTTCGCCCTGCCACTGCTGGCGAGGGGGACGGGGGAGGGGAGGGAAGGGAGTTTGCGTTATTCTGCCTTAATTTTAACGCTTTTTGATTGAATTTTCCCACAACTGAATCGAATTTCCCTCCCTTCCCCCTTTCCGGTACGGAAAAAAGCAACGAGTGACAGCTTCTCGAGAAAAGTAATAAGTCCCTTTAACGCAGGAACGATCAAGTCCCCCTCCCTCCCTCCTTTCACCGAAAAAACGTCCAACAACCAAACAAGAAGCGAACCAAACCGCACATCTACGATGCGCACGCACCGGATGTTTACAAAACGGCACGAGAATACCCGCGCAAAACGGATAAATACACTTCAGGACCGAACTGAACCAAAACAGCAAAATTCCCCGACACACACACGCTCAGCCGGCCGAAAGGCAGCCACTACGAACTACCGGACAGGCTATTTCGGTACCATGGTGCTCATTGCTGTGAGAGTTGTTTTTTCGGGTTGTGGCGGGGAGGGATGAGTGAAAGG